AGAGAGAGAGAGAGAGAGGCCTCGAGTAAGTAGCTTTCTCCTGGTTATTGGTTTCAGTGACTGGTCAAAACTATTCTTCTCCATTCTTCTTGTCTCTCTCTCGCCAGCACCTTTTTTTCCCCCTCCGTGGTGTGAAAGATAAAGCGGACGGGCCCAACTGTGTGGCTGGCCCTTGTTCACAGCAGTGGCCTTTTGAAGCCAATTTTCCAGCTCACGGAGCAGAGAAAGACAGGGAGAGACGGGTAGAGAGAGACGGAGGGACTCGGAGAAGAGTCGAGGGATGAAGGGATGAGGGGTGTTGGAGGGGGGGCGGGGGATGGCACTGGGAAGTTTTAGGTGTGTGAATTAGGGTTAGTGTTGAGGTACTGATGTGAGAAAATGCACAGACACAGCAGGATTACTAACCAAAATATTCCTCACACCTTAACTGTCATAATTGGTACCACTGAACATAATTGTAGTAGGGAGGGAACATTATTCACTAGACCCGAAACTGTAGCAGCAGTGCTTCCTGTGTCATTTTTACAAAGCAGTGGAGCTTGGGAGTAATTCTGCACTTTAGATTCCACACCTGACCCTTTCATGGTCCAAATTATGACTGCAGTGCATTGCTGAAAATGTTCTTTCTAATGTACATGCTTTAACTTGCACATTAAGACTGCAGCTTTTTATGTTTTAGGGGCAAAATGAGTCATTTTACACTGTTGATTTAGCTTCTAATGCACTCTTAATCATAGTGTTCTAGCAGTTGTGGAGGAGATGAAGTACAGATTAAATGATTCAATTTGCATGTGCAGTCCTACATTCTTTCTATACAAATTATTTCATTTGAAGTTGTCTTTCTGTTTAGGTTTTTCTTATTTTTCATGAGAAAACGACATGCGGCACAGTGCTAAAGTTAATAATTAAAAGACAACAGAAATCACACAAATGCAGATCAAACGCCTGCAGAGAAACTGTTTGGTGACAGATAACAGGATAGTCAAAAAAAAACAAAAAACAAAAAAAGTATGTTTGCAAACATAGACACACACATATACAACCACAAAAATCAAATATGACTAAAAAAGCAAGAAAACATTCATCTAGTTTTTCTTTTCAATAAGATTATTAAATTCCAGGAAATGGTTTGTGTGTGTGTGTTTGTTGGTTAGAGTGGGGGGGATGGGGGGTTAAGGGAGGGAAGCATGAAGGAAGGATAATTAAAAATGTTAACTGGCTGCATAAAAACGAACTATGTATGTGTTTTTCTCTCCTTCCCACCCTCCACCCCCCGCGTGCCGTGGCTCCACTTATCAGCATGAGGAGGGGGGGGCATACGAATTAAGACCACATAGGGAAAGAAATCAGACTTTTTTAAATGCCGAGAGACTGGCTAGAAAATTGGCTTAGTGCGGCAGATAGCAAACTGAACAAAAGAAACATATATATGAGCTTGAAGTGATTGAAGTAGCTGGCGTCTCCCGATGTGTGCCCGGCGTTTGATTCCCGCCACGGCTCTTACATAAACTGCTCACTTAATTTCACACCGCGCATCTGAAAAATGACAACAAACGCTTTCATTAGAGCGCGATGCCGCAGCCCCACGAAGAGACTTTAATGTTCTTGAAGCGTGGAGGAAGGAAGGAGGAGAAGGAGGAGAGGAGGACGGGGGGGTTGAAGGAGACAGAGAGAATAAACTAGGTGAAGGAGTGTGATAAATGTGGAGAGCATTCCAAAAACAACAAGCGGAAAAAGCAGCGAACAACATCTGCTTTGCTTATTTCAATATTCAAGTGCCCCCCTAGCTCCCATCCCTCCCTCATTCTCCTGCGTGAATTTGTTTTCCTAGCATGCAATTGGTAACGCTCATCTTTCCTCCCTCTCACAGACTCTCTCCCTTCTCTCCCTGGTGTGGTGAATATTTTGCATATGCTTACCGTGGTACACGGTATGAGGAGTAAAGTTAAGCCCGGTTCGGTAATTTGGGATCTTTCATCTGCTTTCGGCACAAGGCCAATTCTACGCTGACACAGAATCGGGTCACGGGTAGGGTTTTGCCAGAGGCCATGAGGATGTGTGTTTAAACATATGTGTGTGTGTGGATGTGTAGGCGTTCTCCTTCACGCTGTACCACAGCTTAGCTTTCCTGCCTATTTCATATGGTGATGCACGGAGGTGCAACACAGAGGTGCCACCCTTGAGGTGGTTAACACACCATCCCCAATCCCATCCACAACAACACAGGTCTCCACTCACAACAGCAGCTTTGTTGGCTTTTACACTATGTGTCCTTATTCTGTGTGTGTGTGTGTGTGCCTGGCAGCGTGTGTGAGAAGGTACCTGAGTGTGTGTAAAAATATGATTTGTCTGTTATGGTTTATGTACTGAGTTTAAGGCTTCAAACAGCACTGAGAGGTATTAAAAAAACCTTTATGAGCACAAACAATTGTGTGCTTTGTTCTGTCTCATTTATTTACTTGTTTCGTTTACTTTACTTAATCTTTACAATTATTGCTTAGGTTTA